CGCCCGCGCGCCCACGCCCCTCCCGCTCCCGGCGCTGCTCCCGGCCGCCTTTGCGCCCTTCTTCGGCCCTGTCTGCTGATTGAGGTCCCAGGTCTTGCATCCCAGCACCGAGACGCTGTGCAGACATTGTTCCGAAAAGAAAAAAATAAATAAAGTAAGAAAGGAAATTACTTCAGACCACCTGGCCTGTTTCAGCGCCTTCAACCCCTCCTGCTTCCAAATTGGCCCCGGCTTTCCCAACTGCCTTGTTAGTGCCCGGCAGGGATTGCTCGGCCCATCTCTTAGCCATCTGGGCCCGCGGCTCTAATTTGATGGTTGCCCACTCCTGACAGGGAAAAAAGCATCCAAGAGAATTTGGCTCCAATTGTAAGCTTTATCCCGATAACATTACATGCCTACTGTGTGCAAGGCACTGTAATTTTTAGCTTGTTAGTTTGATTCAGAGGCAGAATTTTCCAACAGCCAGAGGGGTTAAATGCCTAGGATCCTGTCGAATTCTCAAGGTAGGAATATGCCAAACCAAATGCTGCACAATAGTTTTCTGGAACACTGAGAGTTAGGGTGTTTCAGGGAGGCTGCATGACTAATCGAGAGAGCAAAAAACCTTCATGCTTTCCAGTAATTTTATTTTATGAAAACACCCTCCCCTCCCATTTTTATGACACAGTTATATTTTTGCCAAATTCGGCCTCCCAGCAAGCTCTAATGCATACCCAAAAGAGCTGTTGGACCCCTCGTGAGGCTATTTACACCCTTCCCTCCCCAAAAACTGTTTCCATCCCAGATTCAGTCTGTCTTAATACTCTTGGGAAATTTCTTCTCTGGGGGACAGTACCAGGCACCATAATTCCTTGGCCTTTGCTCAGAAGGTATTATCCCAGGGAATCAAAGAAGAGAGGCAGCCCTAGATGTATAGAGGGGCCTTTGTGTATTCAGCTAGAGCACAAAGGCTCCAGGGCCTGCAGCTTTGGTTTGCCTCAAGAAAGTGAAATTGGAGTTTGTGGAGGAGAGTAGAACTAGGAAGCTTATTGGTGAGCTCAGGATTCTTCATCCATGACATCTAGAATGTTGCTCAGAAGAACTTTGAAAGTGGGACGTTCATCTGCTTTCTAAAACCAAAGAAAAAGTAAAGTATTATAAAGAGTTAAAATCCAGAATTCAAGGGAAATGCAATGAGTGTGCAGCAAATGTTTATTAAGTATATACTATCTGCCCAGAAATATACCCTGTCGAGACAGAAAAAATAAAGGAAAAGAAACAGTAGCACTCTATAAAATACTTGTGCACTTTCCATTGGGTTATTAATGTGATGAGGTCAATTTGCAAACCAAACTAACATACTGATTAAAACAGGGCAAATTCATTACATAATTATACACCAGTGCATTATTATTTTGTGTCCTCAACTGAAAAAATGGTTATCAAATTTAAGTGGTTGACAGAACTAAAATCCTATAACCTTTGGTAATTTTTAGTTGGGTTTCAAACACTGTTTCTATTATCTCATAGTCAAAAGTAACAAGGAATTTTAACATTTTGAAACCATGGACTGCATCACTGGGCAGGGATCCTGAGCACCTGAGACTTACTGTCTTGTCTAGACTATTGTCATGGTCCACAAGCCCCTGAGGTATTTAGTGATTCCAGGCATAGTCATACCACAAAGGTCTCAATTCATCAAAACCAAAATGCCATCAATTTCTTGTTCTTATGAATCAGTGGTTCTCAAACCTAGCTGAGTATCAGAATTTCCTGGGAAGTTTAAAAAGATATTTCTGGGTTCCACTCCAGATATATCTCATCAGAATTTCTGCAGATAAGGCCCAGTCATCTGTACTTTTAAGAGTTCTCCAAGGATTCTGATGTGCATCCAGTTTGGAGACAACCACTTTAAACAGGCTGTATCTGACACCTTAATTCCTTTATCCTTGAGCATGCAAGGCAAAAGTCTACAATGATTTTCTCCTTTACTCGAATTCTGCCCCATCATAATCTGGCTGATTAAAACAACCCCATCCACTTAGAGTCGCAACTCCAAAGCTGGCAACGGAGCATAGCCAATCACCCTTAATCCTGCATGGCACAGGAGATAGAAGGGAAATGTCTTCAAGAGGTTCTCCATACTTTCTTTGTGACCCAAGTCATTTGTTGAAGGAAAACTTGCCATGCTCTGATCCAGATCCCCTATTTTCACCCCACCAAGAGGGCTTTAGATCAGTGATGGCGAACCTTTTGAGCTCGGCGTGTCAGCATTTTGAAAAACCCTAACTCAACTCTGGTGCCATGTCACATATAGAAATTTTTGATATTTGCAACCATAGTAAAACAAAGATTTATATTTTTTATATTTATTTTATATATTTAAATGCCATTTAACAAAGAAAAATCAACCAAAAAAATGAGTTCGCATGTCACCTCTGACATGCGTGTCATAGGTTTGCCATCACTGCTCTAGATTCACATATGTGCTTGTTGGACACTGTCTGTCCTTCTCTGTTTCTGGTAGGGCAGAGCTAAGAGGTTTAGGTTGCCAAATTAAGGTTGCCAAGGATCTACTGAAAAGTGGAGAAGGCACCTCTGGAAGAACCAAAGGTGAGAGCAGCAAAGCATTTTAGTAATAATGGGACAGGCCTTTTATTTTCAAAACTAGTGGTCCTGTGCACAAAATTTGTGCAGGGGAGGGGGTTCCCTCAGCCCAGCCTGCACCCTTTCCAATTGGGGAACCCTTGGGGGACATCTGGGACCGCTGGCTCCTAACTGCTCATCTGCCTACCTGCCTGATCGCCCCGAACTGCCTCTGCCTGCCTGCCTGATTGCCCCTAATCCCTCTGCTGCCTGCCTTATCACCCCTAACATCTCTGCCTGCCTGCCTGACCGCCCCTAACTACCTCTGCCTGCTGGGCCAATCTCGCCCCCAACTGCCCTCCCCTGCCAGCCTGATCTCACCCCCAACTGCCCCCCCCTGCTGGCCTGATCAGCACTAATGGCCTCTGCCTTGGCCCTCACCACCATGGCTTTGTCTGGAAGGAAGTCTGATGTCCAGAAGATGGCCAGTCGACCCAGTCTAATTAGCATATTACCCTTTTAGTAGTATAGATAGATTACATAGGATAGGGTTGCTTAAATGGGGGGGGGCTTTTTCATCAGGAGGAGATGCTCTTGGCAAACAAAAATACATAACCTCTATATCTGGACTGATAGCCAGCCGTATGCACTATACTGCCAAACTGGTCATTAAAAATTGAACCACTTTCTTACACCTTACACCAAACAGTTGTTGCCCTCAAAACCCCTCCTCAGCGCCCACCTTAGGTTCTGCCTTCACAGTTTACCCAGATTAGATTCTGATTGGTCAGTTTCTATGCCAGTCAGTGTCAAAAGCTCCACCTCCTAGGCAGCCATTGGCTCCTCACAGTTCACCCAGATTTGATTCTGATTGGTCGGTTTCTATGCCAGTCAGTGTCTCCAGGTCTGTCAAAGGGCCTGATCAGAGAGCGAGGCTGATCAGCACCCCCAGCGGAGGCCCAAGAGACAGAGAGGTGTGGTTGGTGAGTTTCTATGCCAGTCAGCATCTCTGGGCCTATCTCCGGGCCTGATCAGAGGGGTGTGGCTGATCAGCATCCCCCTCGGAGGCTCAGAGAGCGCGGCTGCTGGCAAAGTCTGGAGAGAAAGAGAGAGGCAACAGATGATCAACAGCTGCCACAGAGGCTGCGGATCAGACCCTGCCTCTCTCTTCGGGCCTCCCTCAGGGCCTGATCTGCAGCCCCCTCGGCAGTCAGTGCTGGGTTGCAGTGCCTGCAGCAGTGTCAGTCAGTGCTGAGTCGCCATGGTAACCCAGCACTAACTGCAGGACTGACTTCCGGTAGGTTGAGCCTTCAGTCATTTTGGATGTTACGGACCCTGGGTTTTTATATATTAGGATACCACATGCCCCATAATGTACCATATTTTTTAAAAAGAGCACTACCTGTTTTAGTTCCCTTTGGGGTCATAGGGTCTTTATTTTTAAAATCTCACTTAGGACCACTGCCAGAAAAGGTTGGCAGTAAAGTAGAAGAAAGAAGCAATGACTCCCAAGGGAATAAACACAAATTTTAATTTTTTAAAAATGCCCATACATTTGTCTGAGTGCTTTTGACTGCTTGTGTATACTAGTGACATGGCCTCACCCCCTTTCCCTAAAGCTGAGTTGGTACTGGAGTCTGCAAATAATACTCTAGTGAGGATTGGAGTGGCCTGGGAAAGCCTCTGGCTATCAAAGGATTAGGGTGCTGGCTGGGGTCCTAGAATGTATGTAACTCCATGCAGCCAGGGAGAGTGGGGACTAGGTGCCTGGCTGGCTAAATGATAAAGTAGATTCAGGGAAATAATTTAAGAGGTCCCAGTAAAACACTTACCTCATGCCAGCAGCTGTACATGATGGTATATACCCTTTCTGAAGCTAGATGAGGCCTGTAGAGACGTAGGCCTTGGGCAATATGTTCAGCAGTTTCACTGTTAGTAAATCTCTCATATGGCATCTTCCCCAGAGAGTAAATTTCCCACATCAAAACCCCTAGAAAATGAAAAAAAAAAAAGTAGTCATTTTTCAGTCTTTTCAGGTAGCCGGGATCCTACTCTTCCTAGATTAACCTCAAAGATTAGATTCAGTTGATTTGCCCCTCTGTGCTTTTTGTGTTTTGTTCAAACTTCCACTATAGTACTGACTACACTGGAGCTTAATTGGGGTTGCAGTGGACCATTAGGTCCTTCAGGAGAGAGACAGCATCTTTTTTGTCTTTGTGGTTATAGGGTCTGGCACAGTCCCTAGTACATAATCAGTATTCAGAAGCTGTCGAATACTGAATGAATTGTTTGTTCCCCTCAATATTTTGTAAGTTCTAAGTAGGCAGGGATTGTGTCTAGTTTACTGGTTTTATATCCAGAAATGCTGTGGTGCCAGACATAGTAAGCACTCCCTAAGGATTAGATGAACGAAAGCAAGAACAAACAATCTCTGTACAGTTTGCAAAGTGTCAGTTTCCCCATTGTATTTATAATCTTAATCACTCACCAAAAGCCCAAATGTCAGATTTGCTGCTGAACTTGCTGTACATAAGGACTTCTGGTGGAGACCACCGGACTGGA